CACACACACACACACACACACACACCATTCTTTTGTATTATATATATATTTTTTTTGAATAATTTATTTTCAAATATGTAATCTTTTTAATTAAAATAAATTAAAATATAAATATTTTTTCTTATAAATATTTAAATATAGAGATAAACTCAGTAATGATGATGATACGCCAATAGTTCACCGATTCAGAAATAGTAAAAGGATAAATAGATTAGATTTTTCTGAGGACAGTGAACAGACCAATGACTATGAAGATAACGAAGAATATCATACGATTAGTGACTTCAACAATTCCGATTCAGGTAAAAATTATCTTACAGTACCATGTGTAATACTGCAATTTCATATATCTACTACAGAAATAATACGATAAAATTTTTTATTTGATTTTGTATTATTTTATATAGATTCTTACCTTTCACCGATTAAAAACAAGGGTAAAAAAAGAAAAGACCTTACTCGTGATAATACCCGAGAAGACATAAAAGAATTAAAACCCAATTCTTCTAGTGATTCTCTAATGAATTTTATTAATATTGATGATTTACACGATCAAAATAATACTGACCATAAAATAGCAGACGTGGAGAATAATAAAGCACTTCTTGATGTACCTGTGACTATCGAGCTTGATTCAGGTATTTTTATTTGATAATATGTTGTGTATAGGTTTTAATCTTGAATAAAAATTAATATTTTTATCCTAATTATAATACTATATTATTTATAGATTCTACTTCTGGACAAAATAGCGATTCGGAATTTGCAGCATCTTTTGCAAAACAAGAAATTGGTGTTGGAAATATCGATCCGTTAATAGCGCAGAAAAGAGCGATTATGGTTTGCAAATTGGAGCAGCTTAAAAATGAGTCTGTCAAAATGAAGGTAAACATGAGATGTATTTATTTGCTAATGTAGCAATGAAATACAGATAATGTAGATAATTTTGACGATACATATAGGATGGGGCGTACGTCTTATAAGTTAGCAGAACAAAATGAGTAGAATCAATTCTAACTAGTCAAATTATTTGTTGCTTATTTGTTGCTAAAAAATTGCCAAAAAAAATAATTTGTTGCTCTATTAGTTTTTTTAAAAATGATGTTCTGCTAAAGGAAGATTAAGTTAGCAAAACAATATATATATATATATA